GTGGGAAGATTTCCAAGCCAGACTCATTCTAACAGGAACCCTCCCTTCCCAGTCCCTGGTATATCTAGAACTTTTTGCCTTTCCCCCCAGTTCCTTTGAGACCAACACTGTGGCCTTGGAACTGAAGGAAGTCCAGTGAACAGCAGATTCGTACCATCTGGATATGAGACCATAGGGAAGCCATGGTACTGAAGCTGGTTGGCACCAAGACGGGGTCAGTGGGTGGACTGTGTAAATGCACAAATGACCACCTGAAGAATTATAGTTACAGGATAAGCAACCTAACTTTCTTCTTCATGGTCACTGCACATTACACATATGTATGACTAGTGAGCATTCCTCAAGATGGAGGTGGGCAGGTGTCATCAGCAGAAGACCATGGATAGAACCACTCTGCAAGGGAACAGTCCTGCCTGCTATAGACATTGAGCTGGTAGTGCCAGACAAAGGTTGAGGGATGGACCATGACACCGCTTTGCAGAGGTCCTGTAGAGGGATGCTAGCATGTAGTGCCATCAAGGTTGCCATCATCCTGGTAAAGTGTGCTCTGGGCCACTGAGGAAACTGAAGTCTGATTAGCTGGTAGGCCAACATAATGCACTTGACCATCCAGTGAGTGAGCTGTTGGGGGCTGACTCACCCTTGGACATTTTGCTGTAACATACAAACAGTATCTGGGATCAGCAAAAGGACTTGGTACAGGACCGACAGAATGCCAATGTCCTGAGAACATTCAAAACACTCAGAATAAGCAGGGCAGATTCTACTGGGTTGACTGCACTGGGAAGAAGGCTGGTAGAACAATGTCCTTGTTCAAATGAAACAGTGATGCCACCTTCGGGAGAAATGACAGGTCTGGCTGATTGTTCTTGGGAAAGGTGAGAAAGTGTTGGTCTCATCTGCCCCAAGATGTAGAGGATCGACTGGAAAGAAGTGAGGATAGAGTTTGCACAGTTAAGGCAAAGACTGAGAATGTCCACAAAGTCATTAGTAACATGGACTGAGTCTAGGAGTTTGTGCTGAGATGAAACAGTGAGAAACCAGTTGTCCAGGTAGGGCAAAACTTGGACCCCTTGCAACTGGAGAGCACAGATGATAGCCATACATTTGGTGAAGATCCAAGGATCCATGCATAGATTAAATAGGAGCACTGACAACTGATAAACAGCTGAGACAACTTGGCACAGGAGAAAATGCCTGTAGGCCTGATGGATGATGATATGGAAGTATGCATCTTCTAAATCTATTGAGGTGATCCAGTCCCCTAGGCATAGTAATGATAAAAAGTTCTGTAATGAGACCACATGCATTTTCTTTGGTGGAATGAAGAAGCTGACATCCTGTAGGTCGAGGACAGGGCAGAGACCTCTCTCGATTGGCAGAGAGAAGTTTTGCAAGTAAAAAATATCAGATATAGGATGAAGGTATGGGTTGGACTGTCCCTTTCGACAGAAACAGGGGATGCTGGTGTCAAGTGCATGGACCCAAGAGCTGGCAAGATCTCAAATGCAACACAATATCCACTTTCCAGAATGAAGAGAACCCACTTATCTGATGTGATTGCTTCCCAAGCAGGAAGGTGTTTGGTGATGTGACCTTCAACCCAAACCTGTGTGCGTGGGGGGTGGGGGGGACACACACGACTGGTTGGGTGTGGTAGTCAATACCATCTCTTATTGGTGTCCAGCCTCCTCTTCTGCTGCTGCTGGAACCAAACGGTGGTACCCCTTCCTTGTAGCTGGGCCAATGGCTGCTGGCAGGCAAGTCCATCTTCTTGGCTACTGTCCTGGCCTTGTGTATGGTGTCTAATCTCTTATCCATTTATGCGTTGAAGAGGTCCTCCCCACTGAATGACAATTCCTTGATTCTGGAGTGAGCCACTACCATGCCAATGAGGGCCCTTGAGTCACAGTCTACCACGTTTATTTGTTGCTTGGAGAGACAGAGGGGCTCTGATTGAAATACCCAGCCAGGTCCCCGTAGTTCTTTGGAAGATGTTGTGCTAGGGACGCCATCCTCTCCCAGAGGAAGAACTGGTAGTAGGTCATGGTGGCTTTGTAGTTTGTTGTTTAAACTACAAAGGCCCAACATCACTGAAGTAGAGCTCCACCCTGCCAACAACTCCAGGCAGTGCCTCTCTCTGTCCACCAGTATCAAATGCTCCCACTGTGAATGACCATGTTCTGACCCCATACTCATTTTTGGCCAGGGATGCTGCAGCATGATTGTGATATCCTGCTCCTGGACCTTCTACTTGCCCTCCAAGCATTTGAACATTCACTGCAGCTGTGCCAGTATTTTTCTTCCTTCCTTCCTTCCGCCCACCTGTCCTTCTTTCCTTCCTTCCTGTTGTTGAGACACATGGGCAGGAACAGTATTGACACCAGCACTGCATCCACCATTCAGATGGTGTCAAAGACTGGTTCCATTGTTTTTCCGCATGTTGCGGCATCTCCAGTCCAAGAGGCATCACCATCTGAAGGAGATGAAGCAACAGAGAAGCATCCCAAGTCTTCAGAGATTTTTGTGTTCTGGATTATGAGTTTTAGTACTGGATCGTTTTAAAATTATGTGGCTTTTTCCTATTTGTACTATTGCTCTATGGTTATATTGATTTTGTTTTCTGTAGTATATTCATTATGTATTTTTGTATTTGTGTGCAAATTGATTTCAGATGCCTTTGCAGTGCAAAGCAATGCATAAATATTGATGACAACAACAACAAAACAATATGTCAGAAAATGAAAGAAAGCTTTACATATCTAAAATACAGCACATTTAATACCCACCCAGAGAGTTTTGCTTCAGGTTCTCAGCTGTTTTCAACATTTATGGCCCTAGCAGCAGCTCTAAGCAGCACAATGTTGGCCTCCCTTGTGTGGTGCAGTCAGTTGCCAGGGAGTAGACAGTGCTGCAGTAACAGCTCCAAATACTAAGTACAGTAACAATACTAAGTACTAAGACTTGTCAGTAGGCTACTTTATGGAATATGAATCAAAGTCTTGGCTTTTCCCCCACCAGTATCTTCTCAAATGGCCCTCTAGGCAGGTGCCAAGTACAGAATGCTCCAAGGAAAGTTATTACCCGCACAGGGCTGCAAATCTGTACCATTCAAACCAGTGGCTTCTGTAGGAATAGAATTGTTTTCTAGGGGGTCTAACCTGAAACTTATGCTTTTCTGTAATACTTTGCAAACTGTGGTACTTGCACATTTGGCAGGAGTCTCATTCTTCAATGTTTTGGGGAAAAATCCTTTTTACTACTACTGCTTTTAAAAGAAATTTAAAAATTGCAATTTAGAAAATTGAGTCATGGTTCATGCTTCAGAAAACGATAAGAGAATGTTCTTTCCCTCTATTCAAAGCACCTAGTCCTGCTTTCAGGAATACAACAGCTATAGAAAAAGCCTTGCTCAACAGAAAGCATTCATTTACATATGGTAGCCCACGCTCTCTGTAGCATAAGAGAAGGCCTCATGATAACTAGAATGGAATTAAAGAAAGCTCCCAGAATTTCTTTTTCTTATATTTATATTGAACATGCTGCATCCTTATTACTGGAGCAGTTTTAAAATACCATCATCTCAAACCCTTTATGATAAGTGAAGAAACCCTTCCTCATTTTTTTGTATCTTCGAAGTAACACATTCAGCTAAGAGAAGATGAATTTGGCCACTGAAGCAATTTCAGCCATCTAATTTTAAATGGGTACTCTTTATGCTATACAAATTTTAGAAGGATGACTCCAATAGCAGCAAGAAAATTGCAATCCCTAAAAATGTTTCATCAAAATATGCTGCTTTTACTTTGTTTGTGTTCTTTTAAACTAAAACCTAAAAGTTGCTTTAAAAAAGACTATCCAAAGGGAACTCAACTTTGGTGCTCACAACAAATTCTGTGCATTTTTATAATCATTTGGGAAGAAATCAAAATACTTTGGATCAACATGGGAGAGTATATTGGCTGGTCTGGAGGACAATAGCTATACATAGGAAAAACAAACTATTGAATTTCAAATTCACACTGAAATTAAATCAAAATATTTTATCTGTGTAAGTGTCTGTGTATATTCTTCAGCAGTAAGTTGGTACAAAGCTGCAGGTAATATAAATTTCATATTATTAAGTTTATTTGGCTAATGATTAAAGTGTTCTATATATGTGGCCACGTTGTTTATAGAAATAGCACTGAGGGGTTAGGGATTGAACTTGTGTGCTCTTTCCTGCCCCTGCTTACTTAGTAGTGTAATTTTACTGCTGAACTACTGCAGTGTAAGATCCTGGATCCTGCTGAAGTCGCATCCAAAAATAACAGATTAAAAAATGCCCAAAGGCCAGTGGGCTGAAACTGGGCCAATGTTGTCTTAATGGTGGAAGCAGACAGGGATACATCTGACTTAAAGAGCTGCTTTTGATCAGCTCTGGCAGAGGCTGAACAGCTTATCTCAAGGCCGCCAACTCCAGGTGTTTAGGCAGTCAGTGAGAATGGCCAGAGCCTGCAAGTGCTGGGAGGGGACATGAGACACGAGTCAGACAAGCCTGGTAAACATCAGGCGAGAAGAACTAACCAACTAAGAGGAGCTGCATACAGCTAAGAGACAGTGCCCATCTGCCCTGCCAGAGGGTTTCGGTACCAGGAGGGCACTGCCAGAGGGTTGGGGTCCAGGATAACTCAAAAAGAGGATTCTTAGAAATAGCTTCTAGTTTGAATTCAATGAATTGCTCTGTGCATGCTCAGAGATTCTTTCTTCACTAACTACAGTTTGCTGGATGTACATTTGAAATCAAGAGCTTTTTCCAAAACACAGTCTATTGCTTTGAAAAAGAGTAGAGGGAAACTTAACTCCTGACAATGTTCTCACTTCAAATACAAAGAATCAAGAGAATTAGAAGAGTTAGGACATGAGCCTTTCTTCACTCAAGGCTGCTGTGCATGGGAGAATCTGCAGTTTGACACGGTTTGCATCATGTAAGAAAAAAACAAGGGTTTTCTCTTTCTTACCTGACCGGGATAATGCAAGCTTAAATCCAGGCCACAAGTAAACTCTGTATGATGTTCCACTGTCTCAAGCAGTGGGTCAGGCTTGGAGAAATCCCAGAATCTATAGATGGAATGAGAATGCAATTATGGTAATTGAAAGGCTATTTAAAAAAAAATGTAATGCTGGACTGCTGATATGCTCAAAGCTGCCAGACATTTTTAAAAACCAAACTCATCCACTTTAGAAATGCAATTAATCCTATTGCCACAAGTCTCTTGGCTCATCTGCATAAATAAGTACTTCATTAAGAAAAGTATCTCCTTCAGCCCAGTATGGAAATTTCGATCAAAAGAGCTGGCGTGATGATCTCCCATTGGGACAATTTGCAAAATGGTAATCTGAAGCTTCTTTATTAAATAAGCACAGCTTTACAACACAGGAACATAGGAACCTATAAAAGTTGCCTTCTGTGCTAAAACCATTGGTCAATCTAGCCTGGCATGAGTAAGTCCACTTGGCAGCAGCTCTCTGATACCTCTTCAATAAGCGCACAGGTCTTCCTTGACGCTTTCTAAGATGCTAAAGATTCTACCTGGAATCTCAGTATGAGAAACATTGGCTCCATCATTAAGCTAGGAGCCTGTGTCCATGTTTTATGAGCAGTCTCAGACTGGAAGTGGTGGAGGGCCTAAGCACTCCTCACACTCTCTTGCCCTTGCAAATATTCCAACCCTGCTTTGCATATTGACCATGAACACAAGGCTGGCCCATCAAACTTATAAATGTGATTTCAAGATACAACATTTGAGAATGTTACTGAGTCTTCTTTTTGCTGGGGGGCAGAAATGGAAAGAAACTGGAAAACTGAAGGACAGAAAACTTTGTGTTAACAGTTATTTTGTTGCTCTTGAGGAGAAAATAATGGTACAAGTGGGCAGCTAATATTTAAAGTATCAGCTACAGCCAATTAGAAAACTGAAGTATTTAATTTCTATTCTAGTCCAGATCATAGTTACACTTGTATATGATGGCATAAATGGCAAACTAGGTATTTCTCAAATGAACTCCAATAGGAGAAAATATTAAAAGGTGCTTGAGTCACAGATGGGGGAATCTGTCAAGTTTCTTTTCACTCAGACTTCTACTTTTCCAACCTTAGGTTTGTTCCACACTCATTCCACTTCAAATTCCCATGTGTTAAAGTATATTCATTTTCATGGACATTTTCCACTTATATGTGTGTTTCTGGGCACACATTTTAAAGGTGCATGCAAAAAAACAAACAAAACACTTTACTGAATGTATACATTTGAAATAAAGTGTTTTGTTTTGTTTGTTTTTTTGCATGCACCTTTAAAAATATAGTTTTCTATATACCTTTGTGTATAATTTCAAATATATGTTTTCTGTGTGCTTTTTTTATTTGATTTGATTTACCATAATTAAAAATGTACAGACTTGCAGGGAAAATCATATATTGGTTTACATTGGGAAATGCACATTTGTGAAATTGCAAACCAAACAAATGACTTGCCCATTTCCAGCTTGATTACATTCTGATAGCTTACACTGAATGCTAATGATTCTTCTTTCTTTCTTACACGTGGGCATTCAATACAAGTTAAAGGTGGAGCTTAAATAATGAGAATAAAATATTGACAAAGGCAATTTGTACATTTTTGTACACTTTGTTCCTAATTTTAATTATTCTTCACGATTTACTCTGCTTCTGATAATCACAGATGGGGCAAGAACCTAGACAGGATGACAGAGGCTGTGGGAAGGGATAGGCTAACAGTTTGTGAAATTCTGCATAGCATAACCTAGAGAGAATACACACTTTTTGTCATCTTCTTCCCCTTCTCTTTCCCCGTCCCACCGTTGCACTAGAATTCAAGACAATTTATACACTTCATTGCCACAAGATACGCTTAAAGTCATGGAGGATCAATGGCTAGGCTGTAAACCTGCAGACAAGGACTGTCCTGCATTCACTGATCTTATGTAAACAATTTGAGGAGCTTTTTAGCTGTGGGGTTGGATGGGGGAAAAGAACGCTACAAACAAACAAGCTGAAGTCCAATATCCTCTTTGATCATCAAAGCTTTAGTCCAGCAATCCATCTTGCCAGGGCGAGCCCAAGGCATTTTGCTGCCTGAGCTGAAGGGCAATATGCCCCTCCCCATATTCCACAAATAGCTTATACAAGCTTCTGCCTCCATCAGTTCTGTCCTTTCATTTCTCTTCCTCCTTGAGCCCCTTTCTTTCTCTTCACATTTAAACTGCATAGTTACCCCCAGTAATGTTTCACATTCCTCCTAATACATACAACTGTGGAACTGTTATCCAGAAGGGTGGGGGAGGAAGACATCAGTCTATGCAATATTCAATTCAGGAACAATTTGGGAACATTACAAACATGTATTTGTATATCTGAGCCATCTTCATTAATTTCTCAGCAAATTACCGGACTAGAATGGTGGCTACACAATGGATGTGCTATGGCAACAGCCCTCTTTAGATTCTCCTAGGAGTAGAGGAAGAAAAGAAAGAGCTCATTTCCCAACTAGCTCATTTCCAAAGAGCAAAGGCATACACAGAGCATGTTCATCCTTGCATTTGCCCATGAATGCCTTGCAGTATACTTTGGTACATGTTCTCATGAGGAAGACATGCTTCCTAGGAGTTACATACAAGATAATCTATTGAAGTGCCCTCCTATTGGAAGGAAAGCTGCAAACCTGGAGTCATCTGACAATCCTATGTCCTCATGAGGAGCAACAGAGCTAATTTTCACACATCTCTGTCCTTTTTTAATTTGTCCTCTGGCTGAGCAGATAGTAGGCTCTTCCCTTCTCTTCCCTTCCATCAGAAAGTCCCATTTTCTATCCCCAAAGTTATACTGGCAACCCGAAGAAACAGCTGGGTTGGGGAAAAGAATCAGTCAAACTAACACTACAGTGTTTCTTCACTTAATATTTAGAAAGGCCTATTTGTAAGAAATAAGAATAATATAGTAATCATAAGAAAATATAATATTCCTAGATAGCATCCTGGGATCCCTCATATTGTGAAGGAAAACCCCTCCAAAGATCATAGCCAATGTTTGGACATTTTTCCTAACATTAGGGTGCAAATGTGGGCTCTACCCAGTCACCATGGAGGTTTCTCCAGTGGCTCTGTCTGCAAGCCTGCAACTCAAAATGGGCATTTTGAGTGTGTGTCAGTGGGTGGATGAGTGTACGAGTAGAGTGACTGACGACTGGAGGCAGAGCCAGGCAGCCAGTTAGAGCTGGTGGAGACATTAGACAACAAAACCGAAACTGGGCACCAGCATGCAATTGGTTTACAGCAACCTGCCACATGTGATCCACAGACAATCATGGGAAAAGAAGATGGCAGTCACCAGAGGCCCTCACTTTGACTTGAAACAATACCAACTGCAAGTAAGAAATTTTGCTATTTTTTAAAGTGAAAGGTGCAGGGTAGCTTGGAAACTAAGAAAGATGTCTGAGGTACTGATAGGCCCAGAACTCTATTTTCTACCCCTGTTCTGAGGGATCTTAAACCTTCTTAACTCCTGAAGCCCATGCCCTCATCACCAGCTCAAAAGCGCATCTGTATGTTTGAAGGAAAGGAATTTATTCTTCTTCCAGACATGTGTGGAAGACAAATATTATGAACTTTGCCTCCCTTTTGACTTCCACCCTGTATGCAGGACCCAGCAGATTAAACAAAGAAGAATCTCCAAATGGTTTGTTGAGAAAATACGAGCAAATTTTTGATAACAATACTACAACTGGTGAGCTATCACTCGATAGCTTGAGGTGATTGCACCAGGCAACAGATGAGGAGCTCATTAAAAAGGTGACAAGGTATTATGTTTCCACAGCTTGGGGGAATTTGCTTTTCTGTCAAAATGGCCTTGTGCCAGCCATGACTTTAACAAGCTCACTTTCCCTAAGAGTAACCAAACTAAAAATTAGTATTCTACAAATGAACTTAACTGATAACTTTAAAAAACAAAAATATATTGATGTACTAGGGATTATTAAGGAATAAAAAATAAACTGTAGGTGCAGCTGCATATCAAATATAGTATATAAGTCCTGGTTACACTACCACAAAAAGGTTAGACTGTAAGTTGGGAGATTTTTAGTTTAAATGGTAAATAAACGTGAGGACATGAAAGAGGTGTGCGCACACATAAATAACACATGATGTAGAGAAAGTGTGAAAAGGGAACTGTGTCTATTTTTCTCATACAACAAACATTTCAGATCAAGCCCTCCGCCCCAAAATTGAGTGGCAGCTCATAGTTAAACTAAGAAATTCACTGCCATGAAGATGCCCACTACCTCACATGGCTTAAAAGGGTACTAGATAAAACCCTGGAGGATAAACACGCGAAGGATATCCATTAATAAAACCAATGGATAATAGTCAAATGATTATATGCAGCCTCCAGGTTTGGAGGCACTATCTTTCTAAATGTCAGTTGCCGGGAACCAACTGCTGGGAAGAGGCTATCGCCATTATGTCTTACTTGCGGGTTTTCTAGAGGCTTCTGGTTAGCCATTTTTATTAATTAATAAAATAATAAAGGAGCTACTGAACGTTCAGAAATAACCCCATTTATATAACATTCTCCACCTGTCAAGCTTTAATTGCAAATCAAAGAACAGAATCGAAGGAAGAGGCATTTTCCGTCTAGAAGTGCACAAGGTATAAAGAATGTTCTATAACAGACTTCTGTAGGGTATTACTGGCCATTTCCTGTAACTGATATTTCATTTTCAGATAGACAGATATTGCATATAGACATGCTGACTGAATTTTCATAAAAACAGTTCAGTAACTCTCACTACTACCATTTCCAAGTTTAAGAAAAAAAGAAAGAAAAAGCTGTAATTCAGTGGCATAAACTTAATTTTCAGTGTACAGAAACAAATGTTATCACATATATGCCTACAGATTACCTATATTGGAAAAGTAATTGCTGTAATGCCAATTTGGATTAAAAATTGCCATACAGTCCTATAATATACTGGTAGGATTTAAAACATAAAAGCTTCCTGCTGGAAATGAATGTAGATCTATTCTCTCCCTAAGTAATGGTT